TGAAAGCTTTACGATTTCATTCCTTCGGAATTGAGCGCGAGGCCGAGAAGGCCAAGGCAGAGGAGCTTTGTGCCAAGCACCTGGGGGCTGACATGCGTGCCCCGGCTTGTTCTCCGGTTTTGGGCCCTGTTTGGTTTGTGGCATCGTCGTTGTCGTCGTCGTGGTCGTCATGTTGGTTGTGTGCGCCGTCATCGTCGTCGTGGTAGTGATCGCCGTTGTCGTAATCTTCCTCGCCATCGTCGCCGACGTCGTGTCTTTGCCATCATCTTCACCACCAGGTGCATCGCCGTCATCGTCATCGTCGTCGTCATCATCGTCCTCGTCGTCGTCCTCGTCCTCCTCCTCATCATCATCATCCTCATCGTCCTCGTCCTCGTCCTCGTCCTCGTCCTCGTCATCATCATCATCATCATCACCACCACCATCATCGCGAGCAACATGAACATCAATATCGTCGTCATCATCACCATCAACCCCAGCATCAGGACTGCAATCTGACGTCACCGTCACGGCGTCGGAGCCACCCCCAACGAACACAGACCTGGCAATCAGTCTCCAATCAAAGCACCAGCATTGTCATCATCGTCTTAATTCTCGCGCTATCGTCGTCATCAACAGTAACATCATCACACTTGAGTTCCTGCCTCCTCCTCATCCTGCTTGTCACCGCCATCGTCCTCCTCCTAAGCATACCGAGCAGTCGAAACATGGTAGATGATACCCGGTCCTCGTATGCAAACTCCAACCCCGCCCAAGGCACGGCCGTCGGCAATGACGCCGGCATCTTCAGCGACTGCGTCACCGATGTCTGCAGAGGGGGTGTGGCTTGGCGAGAGCTTCGGGTTTAGGGTTCAGGGTGTATGTCTCACGGTTTACAGTGTGGCAGTGCAGGGTTCATTTACTGGGGTTTTGGGGTTGTCGGATCCTCAGAGATGTGCAGCAAATAAGGGGCTTCAACCTAGGCCACAAGTACTGGGATCCTTACATTGACCCTTAAGACCAGGCACGCCGAGCATGTAAATCCTACGTCCAGCCTTGAAACTCAAAGGCTTCGACTGGATCTGAGAGCTGGAACAAAGGAGAAGATTCCCTGAACCACTCTTGTAAGACTGCGAAATATAGGGCCTTGATGAGAGGTCCGAAGCAATACTAAGTGAAGGAGTGGGGAGTACTATGTTACAGGCGGGGTGGTGCATTGGGCACAGCGAACCTGCGTGCTAAGTCATATACGTCGTTTTTCCAAGAAACCCTAAACCCTAAACCCCTAACCTCTAAACCCTAAACCCGACAGTAAACCCCTAAACCCCTAAGCCCCTAAGCCCCTAAACCCTAAACCCTAACACAACGATACCAACAGCCTTAAACTGTCAACTCAAAACCCTCACTTCGAAGCCTTACATGTGAACCCGAATAGAACACTCTTTAGGGTTTAGGGGTTTAGGAGTTTAGGGTCTCTAAACCTTAAAGTCCTAGAAGTAACACGGAAGCGTGAAGAACTACCAGCAGTTTTTCAGAAAGGTTCCTTGGTACAGTTCTAATAACTGATAGACCACAAAATCCTGTCTACTGATAAAGGCCCCGACATGATGCTGTGAGTCCTGCCCGGGTTAAGCGTATGCCGTCCAGCCCCAAATGCGGGCTTTTGGATGTCTAGGGTCCCGGGCTCTTGCAACACAGTTACCACTAGTTAGGGTTAAGGTTCAGCATTCAATCCTTGACCCCTAAACCAAAACCTAATCCCCAAACCCAAAACCCGAAGCCCGAAACCCTAAACTAAAAAACCCGTGAACGTTTTTTCACACACACACACACATATATATATGTATGTATTTAAACCTTAACGGTTTTCGTTTTTATTGGTGATTTCCGCGATTTTTTTGCGATTGCCCGAAATCGCCATTGCCCGCGAACTTTGCGGGTATTGGCGATTTCTTCGCGGACAATTCTCGCGGGGCTTGAGTGGGCATTGGCGATGTCTTCGTGGGCAACGGCGTTTTCTATCGGGGAGTTCGTGAGGGATGGCGAAGTCTTCGAAGGAAGTTGCGATTGGCCTCGCTGGGGCAATGGTGATAACCCCTAACCCTAAACCCTAAACTCTAAACCGATGTAAGCCCTAGTGTTCAGGATTCCGGCTGTAGGGGTCGATAGATTAAGATTTCATGACGGCTTGGGACAAGAGACAAGCATCAAGAGGTAGCGGAGGTCCGTAGGATTTACGCTGCCAGGGTTAAGGATTTAGGCCGTACCTGGACCCTTAAGAACCTCCCTAGCTATGTGTCCTTACTATGATTTCCTTATATAGGTCCTTAAAAACGTAGGTTCTTTGGGGCCTAGGTAGGGTTTGGGATTGATGCTTTGGGGGAGGAGTTAGGCTTTAGGGTTTCAGATTTAAGCCTTGCGGTTCAGGGGACTTCGGCTTTAGGTAGGACCTAAGCCCCCTGGGATTCAGGGCCCTAGGCTTCAAGAATAGGGCTTTGGAGTTTGGGGTTTTAGGGGTTTTAGGGTTTTAGACCCTAGGGTTTAGGATTTAAGCCCTAGGGTTCAAAATAAAGTAGAAGTGCTTCCTGATGTTATGGGAATCTTGGGTGGCTGGTAGGATTTCCGATACCAAAGGCGCGAGCTCGACAGGAAGCTGCTCGAACTGGAACCCCAAACCCTAAGCCTGAAGCCCTACACCCCAAAACCCTGAACTCTAAACCCATAGCCTAAACCCTCAAAACTAAACCCTAAACCCATAGCCGTCGTCAGCACCCTTCAAGGAGGAGTTCGCTGTCGCCGCGAAGGAGCTGCTGGCGGCATACAATGACTAGGCTCAACGAGAGGAGATATTTTAGCGAGGCTTTGGGGGTTTCAAGGCTTTGGGGGTTTAGGGGGTTTAGGGGGTTTGGGGGTTTAGGGGTTTCAGGGGTTGTTTGAGGGTTTAGGGTTGAGGGTTGAGGGTTTAGGTGTTGGGATATGCAGGGTTTCTTCCTACAGCTTGGAACAAGACTGCAAGCAGGATTCCCTTCCGAGCCGTTTCCCTACGCCGTACGCAACCGCGGAGCCCACCGAAGCCCAAAAGCCTAAACCCTGAACCCTAAACCCTCAACCCTAAACCCTATCCCTCAACCCATGCACCGCCTGGTGCAGGCCCATCCAGGAGCCTTGAGGCATCTTCCGAAGGAAGGCAAACCGCCTCTTAGCTGCTAACTTCCCACTGTCGTCATGGCTGCCCAAGGCGGCCTTGTAAGGTTTTAAATGCCCGCAGCGCAGTTTGGGGGCCTGATCAGGAGGCTGTCAAGTCAGAGTTTAGGCAAAATTACACACTGCGCATGTTTATTTCAAAAGTAGACCGTTTCCACGCTGCACTCCAGAGGAGTGCACTTGTGGCTTGGTCCACCGGGAGTTTAAAATGACCGCAACTGTTGGGCTTTGATTACGAGAACCTGTGGGTACTGTTGCTCTTGCAATGCAGAATTCTTGTCTTGAGTTATGACAATCACGCTTATCTTGACTTTGATAAGGGCAGGTGGTTCTTTTGCTTATGGTATCAGATCAACTCCATCAGTTTCTCTTTGGCACAAGAAGAACCGGACTTTTGTGCATCCTAGCACCCCTCGCGTTCCTAACCAGAAGGCCTGAACAATCCTCATTGCTCCCTCATGTAGCTGTAGTAGCGTAATATACTATACCCCACAGCACCATTGTAATGATTTCCTTAAATCCCAAACCCTAAACGCTAAACCCTGAACCCCAAACCCTAGATGCTAAGCCTCAAACCCAACTTCGTCAGGACCCTACATCAATGTCAAAGCCTCAATAACTACCAATATTATTCTTGGGGTTCCTTATTAAAATAGAGTATAAAGGAGCCCAAAACCCTATTCTATTAAGGCCCCTGCACTACCCCAAAACCCTATGCCTTCTGTAGAAGAAGGTCTTTTCTTAGTTGGAGCGGAGGGAAGGGGGGCTGGGGCTGTAGGGTTTAGGGATTGGGGTTTAGGATTTCGCATTTCGGATTTAGGGGTTAGTACGTTCGCGTTAGACTGAAGCTAGTTTAAAGACATGATAAGGGCATCTTGCTATGGCTTCTTCACAGCTCTATATTTTGAGCTCGTGATTGGGGCTCGACTGTGCTGACCGAAGGCCTAAGCACGCTGATTAAAACTTTCTCTGCTCAGTGGCCCTCAAGGTTTAGGGTTTGGGGCTGTAGGGGTTTAGGGTTTCTTTAGGGAATTAGGGTTTAGGGGTTTTAGGGTGTATTTAGGGGTTTAGGGTTTAGGGGTTTGGGGGTTTAGGTTTTAGGGTTTCGGGTCTAGGGCCTAGGGACCCTAAATTAGATTTGCCCAGCTGCGCCCACACTGGGGGATCCATGATCATCAACAGGTATGTCGTCAGAACAGTAGCGAACGATGTACTGGGAAGTGTCGTCACCACCGTCGTCGTCGACGCAGTCTTTCGCTCCTCCCGCGTGTTTAGGGTGTGCGAGCTCAGCCAGACCACAAGCTTTTGCACCCTCAAGCATGCTTGACCGCTGCTGCTTTCCTGTGGCTTCAGCCTCATTGCCGGGCAGTAGATGCTTGTTGAGGGCTGTCACAAAATTTTTTTATGGCGAGTGAGCCTTGCCAGACAAGTGGCTTATCGTAGTAGCAACCACACTCCCAATTGTACACCCGTGCTGGTTGCAGTCTTAGGTGGGGGTGGTCGGGTGGTGACAGTGTTAATTAGTAGCAATGGCAGCGGTACGGCTACGGGCAGTGGTAGTAGCAGTAGCAGCAGTCGCCGTAGTCAGCACCCTTAAACCCTATACCCTAAACCAACCCTAAACCCCTGAACCTCTAAACCCTCAACCCCAAACCCTGAACACGACTCAGCCCCAATACCACGGTAGCAAGAAGATGATTCGTAAGGGTTTATAGCTTAGGGTTTATGAAGTTAAGCCCTACGCCTAAGCCTAAGCCTAAGCCTAAGCCTTTCCTGCTCAGCATTAGAGGTATTTTTTGAAGAATTTTTGGATCCGAATGGCGAACACCTGCGACGTATTGGCGAATTGTCAAGTCGTCCAGGACATTGTGAACGATGTGAGCGGACAGCATGCCGACGATGCCACATGGGTTTTGACGAGCAGCCAAGTGACAGTTTGGAATGTTCCGTAAAGTCTTACTCTGCGTCTTCGCAGTGTGTACTTAACTAATAGTTCAATTGCACCTTAACACACAGATAGGTAATGTAGGAGTTTCAATGCGGAGCTTGACGAGCCAGGCAGCTTTGTAATTTTGACAATGCAGAGCGGCTTTGGGATGTTGGAGCTGGGTTGTGCTGCACGGGGTCACGAAGTAAATATCATGCTCAAGAACGTCTACGACGTGGTCTTCGGCGCTGCTGCCTATTACCTGCTGGGATATGGTATTTCTTACGGTTATCCCTCGAATGCTTTCATGGGTCTGGGTGGGTTTCTCATGGACACTTCCACCGACAGCTTTGAGATGCAGGTGCAGTCGGGCCTTAGATTTAGCAGCTACATCTTTCAATTTAGCTTCGCTGCCACCTCCACGACCATCGTCAGTGGTTGTCTGGCCATGCGCTGTCGCTTTGCAGTGTACTGCATGTACTCTTTCTACGCTGTGATTGTCTATGCCTTCGTGGCGCACTGGGTATGGGCCGAGACTGGCTGGCTGGCACAGCTGGGCGTCCATGACTTCGCAGGTGGGGGCCTAGCCACGTTGGGTTTGGTGCCTAGGGTTTACACTAAGGCTGACTTAGGGCAAGGGCATGCTGCTTTTCAGTGTGCGCAAGGAAAAGTGTTTTGGCAAGCCCGAAACCCTAAGCCCTAAGCCCCAAACCCTAAACCCTAAACGAGCTGTGTAAAGCTTCAGGAAGTGGCCCAGTGCACTTGTTGGGGGCAGTGAACGGGCTGCTCCTTCGGCCTTACAGCGAGGGTCTTTAGGGTTTGGGGCCTTTGGGGTTTTCCCTCAGCCCTAAATCCTAAGCCGCAAGCCCCAATAGCCTAAATCCCAAGCCCGAAGCTACTGCGGAGCTCGAGGATACATGGCTAAACCCGAATCAGACTCAGCCAGAAAGGGAGCTGTTTGGGGTTCCATGTTTTTTTCTACGTACTGCATACCACGCGTAAAAAATCCGCGGCGGGACGAGGAAAGGGGGGTTTCGACGTAGTCTAAAACCCTAAAGCCTAGAACTGTAGTGACAGTATCCGTGATGTCTCTGCCCTAGAATCCCAATGCGCCCGCGAATGAAGGGGCATCGCAGTGAGGCTTCAGAAAACATCGGTGAACATACTCCCTAAACCCTAGACCCTAAGCCCTTCTGCGGTTAGCGTTGCTTCATTTGTAGGCTGATCTTCTGCTTCGGGGCGCCATGCACAGAGTCTTGGAAACTAGGGGTTTAGGGTTTAGGGGTTTGGGGTTTAGGGGTCCGTAGAAGACGAGGTTCCTCAGCAGTGCTCTTACACTTGTTCCTTACGGGTTGCCAAGACGAGTCCAGCTTTTACGGATAAGCCTTCTTGAAGGAATATACCAGAATTCCCATCGTTCAGGGTCCAACAGGAAACGCACGATTTCTATCGTCAACAGGACCCCCCTGAAGCCCCCTGGAATGCCGACACCCCCGCTGCAAACCCAAATCCTAAACCCCAAGCCCTAAACCTTGAACCCCAGTCCAGCCCTAAATCCTAAACCCTAAAGACCCTAAACCCAACTAAACCCTAAACCATAAAACACCCTAAACCCAAGACGCGAAACCCAAGGATCGGCATCCTATGTATGGGGCCGAGACAAGGCCGGTTTGATGGTACGAGGCCTGGGGGGTGTCGGGTTTGGGATTTTGGGGTTTAGGGGTTGTGGGTTAGAGTTTAGGGTTTAGGGTTTGGGATTTCTGAAGAAGAGTCCTTTTTCAGGGGTTTCAGGTTGTAAAAAAGCCTTCAAACAGACTCTTGGTAGGTTTCAGGGTATTATGGCAGCCCTGATACGGCTGTTTTGAATCCCTGGAGAAGCCCTTGTGACGGCCCTATAGGAAACTCGTGCAAAACCTGCTAGAATAGAAGCCGTACAAAGATTTCAAGGTATGCCCGGTTAGTGCAGGGGCTTGAATAATTGGGGTTTAGGGTTTAGGGTCCTGTCTTAAGGGAGTTTCGGGCGAAGCCCTTCCGCAAGCTCTTAGTGCAGATCCTATGAAGCGTCGCAGTTTTGGGGTTCAGTGTCGTGGGTTAAGGGGGTTGTCATTGGTTCTGTTGGCCTTGAAGGGTTCTTTGTGGTCTTACTGGGTCTGAGGCGGTTTGCTGATTGATTCGTATTTATCGTGGGTTTACGGTTTAGGGTGTCGGGTTGAGGCTACTTGGGGCCGCAAGCGGTGGGATGCAGATAAGTTGCGGGGAGACCCAAACAGGAGACCTTCTTTCGTCTTTGAAGGGTACAAGGAACCCAGCCTAACTGTCAGGGTTCATTTTGCAGTTACAGGGTTTAGGGTCTGCAGTCACGATGATTCTGCATAGGGCAGGGGTTGTTGTCAGCTGGGTTGCTTATGGCCAGCCCTAAAGCCCAGAGGACCCCACGAACCAAGCTCCGATACAAAGTAGGTACTTTACAGGCATGTTGGTTTGGGGCACTCAAATCTCAAGCTCTTGTTATGGGTGCTCCGATTCAGAGCGCTGGGAATGAACCCCGTAATATACCCGAGCTTGGTTTACAACCGCTTGATCCTGATCGAAGCCGTAAAACAGAGCTTAAAACCTTTAGCCTGAAGCCCCAAACCGCATTTTGCTGCTGCCAGGCCCGCGCAGGAATTTACACCACCGTCTCCCCCGAGTATCCTGATCGGCCTCTTCATGCCACTTGTTCTCGGCCGGTAGGGCTCTGCATGCAAGCGAGGCGATTGGGATTAGATGGGCTTCTCGCTCAAAGGATCAATCTACGGGGTGGTGATGAGGTGCCCGAATAGGTCCTTGTAAGAGGATCATGAAAGCCCCAACTTGTCAACTATGGGTCGAAAGCTTCGTGATGGTGTGTGTGTGTGTGTCTGTGAATGTGATGTGTTTGCATGAAAGGTCCTGTCTACGTTTGGTTTAGGCTCCGTCCCCAGCCATATGACAATGATGCACAGATACTCATGGGCCGCTGAACCCTGATCCCTGCGCCCTAAACACTAAGCCCGAAACCGTGGATTCCGAAAGCCCACAAGCTCTAAACCCAATCCTTAGTGTGCCTTATAACTTAATGTTGCGAGGGTATGCGTTTTGGGTGAGCCTGGGGTTTTCATGGGTTGGTTGACCCGATTGATTCTCTCAACATTGCGCGAAAGATCTGCAAGGGGGTTGTAGACTGCACGGGCAAACCAAGAACACGGATGTTGTCGGTCGTGATCAGTTCATAAATCATGGACCCTGAGCCCTAAGCCTAAGCTGGCGGTCCTAGGCCCTAAGCCGTGAAGCTTGGACCCTAAGCCTTTGATCCAAATCCCCTCTCCTGAGACCTGACCTACCGGTTGAAGGTGCTTGTAAGGGTAGACGGGGTGGATCTAGATTCTAGATGCTGGGTTTTTGGTTGAGGGTAGGGGTCCAGGTGAGGGTTTGGTGGAATTCCTAGGGTGGGGTACAGGGTTTCGAGTTTCGTTTGTTGTATTTTTACCCGAAAACGGGCAAGGGTTCGGCTAACTGAATACAGGGGTATTGGATTCCTGCATTTCTGTTACTCACATGCTCGAGTGAAAGCAGGACGAACATCAGCAACGGCTTTGATGGTGCTGGTGATGACACTGGTAGTGGCGATGTGTAATCGTCGTCGTCGTCGGCCGTCGTCGTCGGCGGCAATACATAGGCATTACTCACAACAGTAGGACTTCAAACGCCTGAGCCTAAACCCTAAACCCTGCAAGTGCAGCAGCGCCTGTACTCA